TTGGAATGACAGGTAGACAAACCTCTTTGTAAGCGGAAGGAGAAAGTCTTTATTTCACCTATTCCTGGCAAATTCTAATCCATGTTTGCTCTGTTGAAGGGCAAAAACAGCTAATGAGGGATTGTAAACCAACTCACCCCTCCCCTCCCAGCACACTATTACAGATGAAACAGGAACAATTATGCAGATAAGAGAAGATCTGAGACCATTTTCTCCCTTTTTCTACAGCGAGGAAAGGGTGTATGTGTATAATCATTCTAAAATCACCCTCTTGCAACACTTAGGAGAAAAGACCTTACATTTGAGGCTACAATGCATGCAAGCAAGATTCCAAAACAGAAACATTTCTTGTCTCATTAAGCATGTTATTAATGGATACTTAGTTCAAGTTCATAAAAATCTTAAGAAAATGTCTGACAATAATACCAAAGATTTAGAGCAACATGTATACACATATTATTACATCTACCTTACTATTATCGTTACTACCCTGTAGAGTAAGAATATATTCTATCATTTTGTTACTCCCACAGATGATCCTAAAAGCAAGAATACTTGAAATACTTGAAATAACTTGCTTCAGATCTTCATGGCTATCTAAATGTTGCAAAAGGAACATCAGAAGTGGCATTTAGGTGATGATTTACTTTGAACACCTCAGAAGTGAAAGGGTAGCAGGATGTGTTACCTGTTAAGGTATCCCTTGATAAAAAGCATAGGAAACCGCCATATACTATACAGGTATGAATGATGAAGGAGGCTCCCACTCCCATGTGGGAAACCTGCAGTTTCTAATTTCCAACAATTTCTGCACAATAACCCAAGTATTCTTGATGGAACACTGCAAGTAAGCAAGCATATTTTAAAGAAAAATATGTTGGAATAGACAAGTTTTGTGGTGAATGTATGGAAAGGATCTCCAAGTTTGACAAGTTATTTGAATATATCTTTTAGCAATATTATCAGTCTTTAGCAATGCTGTTATTGAAAATCATACATCTGCCTGCTATTCTCAAAAAGTAACTTCAAGAATGTGATATAACTTTGGTATTCAGATATTTTTTCTGAATTTGCATGGCTCTGGAGATCTCAATGGCTAGAGTGACAGGTTCAGGAGCACTCTAAAGCTGTGACTTGTACAGGTCTGGATGTCTGTGAGTTACGATTCTGTCTGAGGGCTCAAAGCTTAGCAGAAATTAAATGCACTTTTTCTGCACATTTCAGATATCCCTAGAGTTCTTTATGAAGAGAAAAGGGTCAAACAGTTTTTTGCACATTTCAGATATCCCTGGAGTTCTTTATGAATAGAAAAGGGTCAAACAGTAGCAGAAATACCTGTCAGAAACAATTATTGCAGTAAGGAAGAAAGTAAGAAAAAAACACCTTTTACCAAAAAAAAAAAAAAAAAAAAAAAAATCAATAAACCTGAAATAATAATCCAACCTAAGGATGAATGTACATTAAATACAAATGTGTGTTTCAGTTTCAAATGTCACATTACATTTTTTTAGTGCTTGGACAACTAGAGTACTCCACTCAAAGGCAGGCAGAGGTACATAAGATATGTGCAAACAGCATGGGAACAAAAGATTTGTAGCTCAGGGTGAGCAACTAATGTGCATTTCCATGATCAGCAGAAAAACCAAAGTGGAATTTTCCACATAAACTATTTTTATCCATATTAGCTATACAAACATTGATTAAACACAGAAAAAGAGTTGTGTAAAGGTAATTAAGTAGAATGCACAACGCAGAAGTATTACTAAGTAAGGGTTGTGAGGGGAGAGATGTGACAACTTATCCAGAAAAATTCCATGGATTGTCATCTTTTCATCTTTATTTTGTGGATACAATTCACGTCTGTGATACATCTGTTCCATTGGTCTTAAATGGCATGTCTAAAAACTGAAGGCTGTGGAGTCCTCTTGGAGATCCAGACACAAACTTGGCAGTTTCCAGACCATATGTCATGAATAGACTGGAGTACAAACCAACATCTCTTGCTTAGTTGGTACAGATCCCAACAGAAAGCACTGCTACAGCTGTGGCTTTCTCTCTGTAGAGTTTTTAGTGTCAGTATAAAAATACTATACTGCAATAATGGGTGTACCCTCGGTATTGTATGACCTGAAGCATAACTTGAATTTACATCATTTAAACATGCAACCACTCAACCATCCAATACGCTTAGTTACTTTTTTTTTAAAAAAAAAAATATTTCATATATTTTTTCTTCACTCCTCCTAGGCTAGGGTGTTTCCCAACATGTCTTAATGATGCACTTTAATGACATATTTTGTCTTCCATAGTCACTTACAGAATTGAATATCTGTTCAGCTTCACTGGATTTTTTCCATTTCTCTGAGTGAACATATAGCCTTCTTCCTTCCAGCCCCAAAACCAGTTTTTACATTAATTCATCCTCCCGTTACAGTTCTAATTATGTCCTCTTAAGGCTGTCTTAGTCTTACATGGCACAGTTTCAAACATCACAAAAAGAATTTTTAGTTGTCCTAAAATTTGGCACGAGCAGCAATTTGGTTGCCAAACACAGGAGGAGCCAGCCTGTTTGCTGGTTTGTAGTACCACTTCAGTCCTGTGAAATGTGGATAAAATGGCAATGATATCACATGTATAAAAAGTGCCCTATCATCCTTTTGAATGCACTGGCATCCTTCATTCTTTGTAGAATGCTCCTGCCATCCACGTTAACGTCTAGTCTACTTTTTTAAAATGATTATTATTCAACTCTTTAAAGACTGAACAGATAATGACATTTTAAAGTTTTATAAAGAATATTTTTTTTCCCCAGGACATGATAATTTGCTTTTTTGTTGTTGTTTGAAAGAGTTTTCCTCACTGTTTATTTTCATTCTTTTCACTGGGCAGCCACACAAACAGCTGCTTCAGAACACTGCACTAGTGAATGGACAGAGAGCATTTTTAATGACAGGAACTTTCTAGGACTATTTACAACAATAGAAAAATATTTTCTTATGTCAGCAAACTGCATAGAAAAGTCCCCTCCCATTCCTTCTGCAAATGTGGTCATGCTTTTACCTAGGCAAAAGTAAAAACTCGTCTGTCTTTCACAACAAAAAAATTTAGGATGGAATGCATTAATTTAATTTAAATTAATTAATTTAAAAACAAATTATTTTTACTTTTAGGTTCCTGTTAATTTCTTTGATTTCTTAATAGTAGAACATCCACATTTTACTGATTCTACTAGCAGTTGTGACTGTCTTTATTAAAAGAAAGAAGTTTAAGAAACTAAGTAACAAGCTTAAGTAAGAACTTAATAAGGGATAAGGAATACTTTAACATACATCCAATCCAGGGGATTCACCAAAAAAAAATAAAATACTGATATAAGAAATAACAAAGGCCATATATGAAATAAAGATTAAGAAATAACAGATTAAGAAATAATGTAAATACAATATTGCAATTTAGCAAGCTTCTAGTCTCTAGAGATGGCACCAGCTGCACATCAAGAAGCTTAAGGTGTTCACCATAATGATGGTAACATAAAACACATGTTTTTTTCAAGTCTTCATATTTTTAAAATATTAACCTCTAATATGATGCCTTTAAGTAGGTCAGTCTCAATACACTCACATTCATTTTCAGTGCTGGATTCACTCAGCCAGAATAGTGTCAGTAATAAAAATATTATATCTATTTTGGCCAATGTGAATGTCTGCCATGGGCAACTCACCTTTTTGCAATTTCCAGCTGAAGAAGAGGTTTCAACAACAGAGTTAGCAGATGATAGAGAACTGCATTTCGTAATTGCACTGGGCAAGTACAATATGGCCAGAACAGGTGTTAGCTTAATTTTCCTCATCTGTACCCGCTAGCAAGTCTGGTTACCTTTGCACACTCATTCAATGTGGTCGTTCAGGGAAATCAGTGCAGATGGAGTGTCACTGTGTGCTCTTGCCAAAGGTTTTTACAGCTAGAAGCCACTGTCTCCAGTCACTATCAACACTTAGTACAGATTACAGCTTGAGTTTAACTTAAAATTATCTGTGGGCAACAACTCAGCACATGAGGAAAAAACAATGAATAAAACACATCTTAACCAGATAATGTGGACTGAAAATGAAAAAATGAAAACACATAAAGTCTAAGAGGTGTCTCCTAGAATTTTGTATACTAAGGTCTTACACATTTATGTTGTTTTTCATCCCTTTCCCAGTCAATATATATTGTTTTGTACCAGAACTAGTACATCACTTTTCAGTGAATTTTTTTTGCCAATATTCTTCTATTTCAGAAAATATAAAAGAAAATGCTTCATATTTATTAACACAAGAAGTATTATTTGTACTGAAAACAAACAATAGCACAATAAACTTCATAAAATGGGGGAAAATACATGGTAAGTGAAACAGATAAGGAGAGGAATTTTTAATTTCCATTTAATTTGGAATGGCTATATTTTATACTTTGTAAAATATCAGTTTTAATGAATGACTGCCAGTATGTTAGCTTTTCATTTAAATTTTGTAGTAATTAGGAAAGCATTTTGGTTTTTTTCTTTTTTCTGATTTTTAACATTCTGTTACTCCAACTATTTTGAATATGTGCTGATAAAAATGCCTTAGAAAAGTGACAGGGCCAAAGCGACTGCCACTGAAGTAATGGAAGACTGACAGAAAGTGTAAAAAAATTATGCTTATTTTCCCATTGAAAGTGTTGTTGAAACATATTTTGCTGAGGCTTTTTCAGTTTGTTTTGTTCCAGTGGTCTCAAAAATTGTAATTCTTCATTAAGCAGTTTTAATTTTAGCTATTTTGAAGAATTTCTAGTTTATCTTCCTTGAATTAATGCTGAATCATGCTCTTATGATCCATTGTCTGCAATGCTTTTTGAGTATGGTGATGAGATTTTTTTCCCAGACTTTTCAGTAATATTTTATATGTGATGGAAATTAATTAAACCTATTAATAAAGCTAAACTGATAAACATAACAGTCAATAAAGAACACTCACCTACTGTCAGTTGTCCAGTTAACTGTCCCATGTGATTTCTTGCATTCACTGTTACATTTCTGTCAGACTGTAAGACCAGTGGGCTATCCTGGGAAACATGTATGAGACAATAAATGAGAGAACAAAAAAATTGAGGTAAAATTAATTTAGAACTTAATATAAACGCACATGCTGAGAGGGAAGTTGTGTCAACTATAATAGCCCTTTTTAATAATTTCAGTATATATTTTACAAGTCAAAATTTTATATTAAAGAATACCAAGAATACTATTTTAAACTTGAAGTCTTTGTGCATACAATCCCTGCTTCAGAAATCAGATTTGAATTTGATTTATTTGTGTTTTAATTTCCTGTTAATATTACAAAGTTCCAAATTCAAAAAAACTTAACACAAACCTGTTCCACTAGCCTTTCTCATTTATTAACCTGTACTTTTCTAACTACCTAACCAACACTATATTTTGTTATTCTATTAATCGGCACAATGTGTAATATTTGCATTGCACTTATTAAAATCTTACAAACACAGACATGCATTTCTTTGAAGATAAAGAGAATTGTCACTCTCAAAAAAAAAACCCGAGAGCACTGAAAGGTGAGATCCAAAGAACCCTGATCCACTGCCAAAAGTACCTTACAGGTACTATTAGGCATCAAACTGATACAGCAAGGAGAAAAACACTTTATGTTAAATACAGTCTTAAAAATTTTGGAGTCAGTTAGCAGGATGACTACCTGGCTCTCAACATCCAACTCGGTTTGAGCTTTTGAAAAATGTTTGCATACACAGATGTAAGCTTATCCTGTGTTCAAAGCCAGCATAAACAATCCGAAAAAGAACTGAATTTTGCTTCTTGAAGAATGAGGAGCCATATGCACTCCTTTAGGGGAAGCACAGATGCACAGGGAAGGAGAAGAGCTTCAACAGAGAGCTAAGAGAGATTGCCTTAAAAAAGAAGAGCAAGCTCACCAGTTATGCTCTCACTGGAGTGGGTTGAGAGCACGAGAGAAGGAAAAAAGTAGGATTGTGACCACCACTGCAGAGAGGCACTTTTCTCCCTGGAATCACCTAATACCACGCTGTTCTTTCCCTGAAGTTTGCAGAGAGACCATGGGTACTTAAATGCTTCTGGCAGTTTGCCAGCACTCAGTGTGCTTGGGTGCGTTTATCCAAAAGCATGAAGACATCTGACAGAAACAGCTGGGGATGTGCCTTGAGTAGGAATGACTAAGGGATAGGAAGATATTTGGGAAATTTATTATATACTTGTAATATTCCTCCCTGGGCATCCATTATTGGTCATCCCTGGACTGAGCATATAAGGTTAAAGAGATCTCGTACATGTGTCTCTTAATATATTGGTTCTTGCTGTTCCTGAAAGTTTTTTAGATGAGAAGGAAAGGACATATGGAGACATAGATAAAGATTTATTTTTACCTGAATGATGCATTAGGTTTTCACTAAAATTTTCCATAGTTTCCAGTCCTTTCCTTTGAATCCAGAGCTTTCCTGTACAAGAAACATTCATCCCAGTTGTTTTCACTATGATTATTAACTTTAAATAATAATCAATTCCCTGGGAAGTCTGAAATGATTCTGAGCTAATTTCTGGGAGTTCAGGTGCATTTAATTTCTCACTGGACTATGCTATGACCTCTTTAACATCCTGCCAATTATCTCTGCTTCACAGATTCTGGCAGATGAAAGAGACTGTTTGGCTTGTCCATCTTTCTAGATAAAAACATATAATTATCAGTGAGACACAGTGTTCAACTTTACTAGTTTGAGCTAAACATGGGATGCAATCAAGGGAGCTTCTGGCAACAAAAGCAGCTGTTAAGGACCTTTTTCTCACTACTTGATTTCCACTTCCCTTATAGTCCTTTGAAAATCATTAGTCCAAGCAACTGCTGCTCTGGGAAAGGCAGTTGTCCTAAGAGGCATCTGCAAGGCCAAAGGCTTTTAAGGAGCATTTTTCACTTTTGTTTAGTCACTTTTTGGTGAAAAGTCTTCTCAGAATAATCTTATCCTTAGCAAGGGAGGACACTGCCATGTCTATTTTTGCCAGTTCAGCAAAGGTTTTGGGGACTTACACTCACAAAGACTGATCACAGTCTGATCTGAAGGTTTCTTTCCTTTCACCATAGAAAAATACTTAACACAAACCTCAGGCTAAAATCTGACTCTCAGGTTCTAATTTTAAAAAAAGAACCTTGGATATCAAATTCTAAAATACAGGATAATGAAAAAATTAGGTGAGCCAAACCTTCTTTCTTCTTCTTTCCTTGCCTTATATAAAAGAAAAAATGAGAGTGAAGAAGTTAAGAACTTAAATCTACATTCCTCACTTTCTGGATAAAAAATATAGAGCAGAAAGATTAAATTCTGGACCAAAGAAAATGCAGTGGCAGAACTCCTATCAATTTAAGCAGTCCAGCATTTCATCTACATTACTTGCACTTTATTTTATACAAGTGCCTAAAGACAGAGGTTCAAGGAATAAAAAAATAGTCTTCTCAGAGGAGCTAGACATTCAGAGAAGACTTAGCTGAAATCAGTAGAATTGCTGATCTGTTTGGTGAGTATGAAGTGCAAGGAGTATCGCTCATAGGAATACAAACATATCTAAAGCATAAAGATACTGGATAATTTTCTCTCTGCATGACCAGACCTGTTACTCTCTTGATGCAAACTTCAGCTTCCAATGATTTGTGATGCCATTTCAAAAATTATACTGTAGATAACAAAACCCAACAATGTAAGAACATTCTTACAGCTACACAGAGCTTTAATAATGTCAATATGCTAATTACTAAAACATTATAGAAGGGTACTGACATGAGGGCTCTACCAGCACATACTGGCCCTACCTAACCCCCCTGGGGGGACCCATTTCAGTCCAGCCCCACCTGAAACCCTTTTGGTTGGGTTGTGCTACTTGTCTCCCCTCCCTGTTTAAGGAGCACCCAGCCCTCACTGCTTCCTGACAGGAGGACCTCAAGAGTTTGCTGGTGTTCATGATACTGTGTAAAATGACTCTTGTTGTAAACCCCAAAGCATTACAACTTCAAGATTAAAGGTAAATCAGATTAAAATGTTACAATAGTTACTTCTTGTCTGAAACAAGTTTACAGCTAGGATTCATAAAAGTAAAAACAAACTAATTAATTTAGGGTGTATTTTTAGAAAGCTTTCTGAACTTGTAATCAAGTTAAAAATACAATGAAAAGTTTGAGGGGAAAAAAAGGTTTGTTTTTTAATTTTTGTGCTTGCTTGGTTTAGGGTTTTTTTGAGTAAGAATCACATTTCAGTAATAAATATCAACTTTTCTTTTTAGGATTGGATGAGCATATTATTTTAATTATATGGAAGGCCAATAGATTGCTGTATAAAATCATTTAACCAAAAATATTCTGCATAGCAATCATAGCAAAACTCTTTTTTTTTTTTTTTTTTTTTTTTTACAGCTGGTTTAATTATTTTTAGCATATTTTGGACAAATTTAATGCATTTTGTACAGCATTCAAATAGGCAATCCCAGCTAATTAGCTCAGTTTTGAAGAGTCTTTCCAAAATTAACCTTTTAAATTAGAAAGACTTTAAATGGAGAAATTCAATTCAAGTTAGTTTAAGAAAACATTGGTTTTCTCTGGGTAAAATGGTACACTGTACAATTAAATAGAATCTCTGATTTATGCTCAGAACACAGATAATTATGATAATATCACCAACTTTTACACTCAGAAACAGTACTGATATGTCTAAATTTTTATATTCCAAGCAATGGGGTTTTTATGATTTGATTTTTGTGCTTAGGTAAGTGTAACACTTCAGGTCTCTGGACTTCTACATGGTGTCATACAGATGTAAAAAGTAATGTAATAAGCAGGCAGGACTCAAGATCTGCCCCGCTGTCCGCTGGCAGTTTGTAAAAGGATGTAATGCTATATATTCCTTTATTTGCTCCTATCTCCAGTATGAACAGCTAAAATAATTATGGCAAACCTTTCCTTACAGGACACTTCTCAAACAAACCCTGAGACTCTAGTGACTCAGAATGGCCACAGCATTACCAAGGTATCTTTACAGAAAAAAATAATCAGTATTAAACTTTGGTTTGCTGAGAAACTCACCATTACCAGGTTTTAAGAAATACAGAGAACATGTTTCCCTGCTGCTGCAGAGTGTCTGTTGCTTTAGAGATTCATGCTGTGGGTGCCACTGAACAAGCTGATTGTCTGCATCTGGTCAATGACCCCAACAGGAGGATGAAAAATGTATGAGTTATTTGACCACACCACAGGAACCGAATGAGAAATGAAATGAGAACCGAAAGAAATAGAAAGTACTTAGTACTCTGGTCAGTGCAGCAGACCAAGGGAGTCAAAGGACTGCTGAGTAGATGTGCAATAACTACAGGGGCAACTGCAGTTAAGGCAAATGAGGGATAACAAGTGTGAAGAATATCCTGGAGGAATTAATTGCAAAGAGTTTAGAAGAAGGATATGAAAGACACAGTGCCAGTTAAGGGTGGAAAGACCAAAGAAGATGTGAGGGGACGGAAAAAACATTCCTTAGAGGTTATCTGTCATCCAGAACCAGAACATCAGCATGTTTTAGCAACATTTCTTTGCAAATGGGGAGAGATGGAAGATAAAGCTACAGAGACTGAAAAAACACACATTTGTAGGGCTTGGAGTCTCAGAGACAGACTTTCTATCATTAAGGTTATTACTAGCCCTAAACAAACATGAAGAAATTTGCATTAGGAAAGATATGAAGGGAAAAAGACATAAAAACAAAAGCAATTGCTGAGTTCTTGAATACTTAAAAAATTGAAGGCTCCATTAAGACTTGGAATTTTGTACAAGTTTGGAACTGTTAAAACACAAATTAAAGAAAACTCTTCTTCATCAGAATATTCTCATGATATGTTTTCCAAGAATATTTTCAATATTCCTTTATATCAATATTTACCAATATTCAGTATTTCCAAGAATATTCTCAAAAAATTAGAATCCTTCCAAGGTGTCAGGGCAGCAGGGACCCCTACACAAGTGTATTTCAGATAGGGAGAAATGAATATA